TGAAATATCCACATTTTTTTGAAGCACATACTTTGTGCCTGCCCCGCTGGGGACCGAATCAGGTTTTTAGAGTTCGACAGAGTTGTCCTCTTAGCATCTGACCTCAAAAACCACTCACCATACAAACTAATCGGCTTCGTTAAGAAGCTGGGTTTATTTGGTCGGGTGTGAATAGGTGTGAGCCACAATAAACTCTTTCGGGTTGCGGTGGAGGGTCGAATAGACTCAATTACTTTGGAACTAACCTTATCTAATATTTTTTATTTCAGGTACCTATTGCAGGTACCAAAAGGACATTGACTACATCATTGTATATTTAAGGCTTTGCTTGTCAAAATGCGTCAGTTTACTTGAGAATTGTTATATAAACCGAAAGTGGTTGTGACAAATGAAAATGTTAGTAGACCAGAGTTGTTTTCTCTATCCTATGTACTAAAATTTCCGATTTGATTGCGATTGATTTCCGCTTTGAAGATTGATTTCCATATTCAACAAATTCAATATTATTTCAGTCGCCGTTTTTCTATAAAGGAGGGAGTATTGTAGCAAGGAAAGATATCGAGAGACCTTCCACCACAGATATGCTTGATGATCCTTACACGCTGTATGTCAATTTAAACAATGTAAGCCTACTAAACAATATCTCTTTTTTAATATAAATAAAATACCTTCGTGATTTTCAGAACAAAAGAGCTGTGGGTACACTATATATAGACGATTTTTCAAGTTTCAATTACAGTATAAATAATCATTACAACTATATTCGTTTCACCTATGACCACAGCAACGGAGAAGTACATACAGAGTGAGTAAATATTAATTTAGTAAATCTTATAAAATCTGAGAAAGCAAGAAATTGTATGTTTCACAGTTCAAGTGGATTGTCATCCATATATCTTATTAGTTAACTCCTGTCACTGCTCAATAGTAATAATTGTTAACCTGAAAGAACTGTCAAAGAAGAAACTCCAGAAAACCCTATGACAAAACGTCAAAGGTAAACGAAAGTACAGCCCATTCAGCTCAGAACAGAATCAAATGTCTAAAAAAGTAACGACAGAGTTGAAGTTTTTCGAACGAGCAGAAGATTTAACATTTTTCGACTTAAATATTTTGTGAAGCAAATTTTGTTTCGAATGTTTCTACAGTATTCTACAAGTATTCAAATGAGATTTCGCAGAGAAGTCGGACTGGTTTATTGAGATTTTCGACTATTTCTCATAATTTATCAGGAATATTATGAATATTCAAATANGAATAATTAATTACTTTTTGTGAAACAAAAATCAATTCATAAATTATTGAAAAATCACTTAAAAACTAGTAATCAGTTAATGAAAAATTCTAAATTGCATGATTGTATACAAAATGCTGAAATATTTTTCCTTTTGAAATAACACATACTAATGAAGAAAAAAACGATCTGTTTGCAAATTTCCAATAGATCGTATGGGAGAGATAAAAAATCTTGAGCAATCAATATGTTTACTGAAGTCACAAAAGAAAGTTTCTTAGTTCCATAATGGCTATTAAATTGTAATTATTCAAATATGTGTTAGTGCTGTCACGACCTCGGGTGACAAACAAGGGTGTTTTTGAGCAAAAACCCCTCAAGGACAGACTCGAAAGCAAAAAAAAAACAAAAATGTACTATTTAGTTTGGCATCGAGATGATTACTTATGTTTGTATTATGCTATAACTTCACCCTGGTGAAGTGATGTGAATTTCAATTGATTTATTGAAAAATAAATAAAATGAGTGAAACATAGAAACGTAGTGCAATACGCAAAAAAATCAGTGACAAATAAAAATAAGTGATTGAATTACTTCAAAATTAAATGTTCGTCTCTAAAACATTTCTGGACTAACTGATTCATTGAAAACAAATGAATCAAAAACATTTATCATATCATTAGAAATAGTTGATATTGTTGACAGTATTTTCGTTTAAACAAGTAGTTGTTCTTTCTGAAAGTTTCAATGTGATTGTAAATGAGTAGCAGCAGATCAAAATCGGAGATACATACATCATCACCACGACGAAGAGTATTTCTTCTTCTGTTCACTTGATGTCAATTTGAAGAGATGTACTGTCTGCTCATCAATCGGTATTTGCCGGTAAATATTCATATTATTATATTTCATTCATAGAAAAGTACTTCTTCATTGCAAATAAACGTAAACTGAAATCAAAACCTGGTTTTTCTAGGCAGGAGTTTGGCTGACTTTTTACAGAGAGCATGCAGAAGAAACAACAAAAATGCGAGAACCCTACCTGTTTGACAAGGAAGTACAAGACGTTATTAGAAGAGCATTGAGACTTCGTTATAAACACATCCCAGTATTTTATACACTATTCCATGAACATACAATCAGTGGGGATCCTATTAATAGACCATTATTTTATGATTATCCTGGAATGGTTGACATCAATGACCATATTTTACTAGGTGAGTAAGAAGTGAAGAAATACTTAGACTCCGCGCCTCAAGTTTTCATTTCCATTTTCATTTGGAATTCTTTCGAATTCAGGTGTGATATCTTCCTGGAGAATAACTTCTATTCTACGTTTTTTTTTCTCCATATTTGATTTCTGATTGAGAACTGAAAACATTCAGGACTTTTTTCATATTTGTGTCCTTTCACATGTTCTTTGAAATTCAATGTTAGAACTTCAACTAGGTGCATGGAAAAAATATCTGCAACTTTATTTCTCTGAGAAAAGAAACAAATATATACATCACCTCCACCTCAAAACAACCACAGACATAGACAATTATGACGTTACCACAGTATACTTATATACAGTAGTCATGAAACTGATTCACATAGTATTTTTCTTTTCTTCATTAATCTTCTGACTCGGGTGCATTCGGCCAGGCTCCTTCTGTCAATAGTCGGGCGGTACAGATGTCTACTACCCTGCTACCCTGAATTTTTTTCGTACATTTCTTCAATATGAAAGCACTTAAGTTCGCCTTCTCCTCGAGAGACCTATAGGTTTTTCATTTCATATACATGGCTCCCTTTACGTGGGTACCGGCGTGAATAAAGGAGGCCCCTCACTTCACTTTTTCAACAAACTTTCACTCATTGTGAATACAATCCAAGAAAAGCCTCACGATAGGGCATGGCATCTGCATGCCGTCTTTGTAGACGGTTCGTCTACACGTCCGAGCAGCTTCCATGGAAGTATGTCGAAGAATAAAAAAAATCTGGAAAAATGTCTTGTATCTCTGTTAGTTCGGAAACTTTTCAGATTACTTTTGTATGCAACCGAATGAAATATTGAAATCATACTTAGAAACAATATAAAATTGTAAATAGTCGATTTGGGTATAATTATTTCCAAATTCAAGAAAAATGTTCGAGAGTGATTTTTGTGGAAGACGATACATCGATAAAATAAACCAACTCAAGCTCTTTGACTGCAAATTTGATTAGGCCAATAATAAATACTACAAGCAATCTCAGTCAATTCAATAGTATCATGTACATATGTCAACCTTGGATCATTCAATTCACTACATTCTTATAGGTCCCAATATTTTGGCACGACCAGTGCTGGAGCAAGGTGTAAATGCTATCACCGTGCATTTTCCTGGGGATAACTCTACTATTTGGTATAGAATGGACCAACAACAAACTTCTACTGTTCATTACGGTGGGTCATCTGAAAATCTGGATGTCGACATCTCAATAGTAAGTTTCAAATGAATTTAACGATATCGATTGATTTGTAAGATTTCCCAATTATTTGTAACCTTAGCGCAGAACGTTGGAAGAGATGAATGTATTGAATTATGTTTTGGAGAATGCAGACATCAAGCTGATTTTGATCAATTAAACAGCAGTATTTTTGTATGCATTTGGTCGCCTCCCAATGTCACCGTTGAGTCCTTTGCTAGCAGATAGTTTTATGAACAACTTAGAAAACACATGTTTGAATTGGAGGCGTTATATTTTTAGGAGTGATTGATTTTTGGGAAAGAAAGTTTTTGGCTTTCTACTACTCCATCTTGATACAAAAAAAGGGGATGAGAGAATCTTCCAAAGAAATGAAGGAAGTAATCAATTTGAAAATGGGTAACTCTATAGATGAATGTGTAGATCATGCAAAGAAGTAACTTTCAGACACAAACTGAAAGAAAGTCCTCCCGAAACAGCTACTTTCATATAAACATTGAATTACACGAAAGAAAAAATTCTTTCGACACAAATACTTCTATATGAATATCGAAAAAACCTTAGTTTTATTTCTGAAACATTTGATTTGGAAGATTTCCCAACTATTTGTAACCTTAGCGCAGAACGTTGGGAGAGATGAATGTATTGAATTCTGTTTTGGAGAATGTAGACATCAGGCTGATTTTAATCAATTAAGCAGCAGTATTTTTGAATGCATTGGGTCGCCTCCCAATGGGGTCACCGTTGAGTCCTTTGCTAGCAGATAGTTTTATGAACAACTTAGAAAACACATGTATTCTAAATAATGCTTTATCACAGAAACACATTTCATTCTGATTCAGATATGTGGGTGGTATCCTCATGGGTTTTGGCGGCTCGATGAGACTAATAAATTAGTTCCTGAACCGATTTCACTAACACATAAGTTAATAATAAATTTCAGTTTTACATATATAGGAAAAACACTTTTACGGAATATACAATCCCCATGGATTCTTTAGGTCCATTATCACATAAATTATCTGCATTCAGAGATCATTGATACAATGAAGGCTTTCCGAAAAGAAATGAAGATCATAAAGCAGATAACATCTAATAACCATATTCCAGTCAACTCAATTGAGAAAATAATCTTCAATATGAACCGATAATTGTTCAGGAATGAACTATATCCAAATCATGCAGAACCTAAAGAAGCTAAGAAATGGGCTAGCATAACCTATTCGGGAAAGCTCTTTGGAAACATAAAAACTATTTTACAAAATTTAACATAATCACGTCATTCACTAGTTACAATAATTTAGGGAAACATGTTATTCAACGCAAAACCAAAAAAGATAAGTGAAAAAATTCGGGCATATATAGACCAGAATGTGGTGACTGTTCAGCAGTTTATACAGGCCAGGAAGGCAGAAATTTCAACATAAGATATCGTGAGCATGTGTTATCAGATAGAAAATCAGCTATAAATGGACATCTACAAGAAACAAACTATACAATATATGAAGAAAATATGAAAATTCTCCATACGTGCAGTAGAGGGAGGGAGATGAATTTGTTGGCAGCATTGAAAATAAATAAATAGAAACCCCAATTTCAAAACCCTCAGTGACCAAATACAACTATGCAACTCTCCTCGTTTGGATTTATGAATTTTGAAAACTAGTTTCGGATGCATTGGTATTTGGAGCAATCCATAAGTAGTGTTTTTGGATCCATACTTAATAATTTTGATATGTTATGGAAGACAAATGATCATTGTTTTGGTATTTCAGATGAGGTATTGATGATTCCGGTAATATTTTTGTTATTGGCATTGCTTTAGGCTTTGCCAAAGGAAGATTGAACACCTGGATGGCAAGAAGGTTTACGATCTTCTGGCAGAATCTTCCAGGAGTGGCCACTCTTAAGGCGTTTATTTACACTTCGAAGCTTGATACCAAACAGTTGTTGGACTATAGTAGGGATGAACTACGATGTCTAACAGGCCTTCTTACAGGTCACTGTCATTTGAATCAGAGACTTGGACTGTCGGAAGACAGTGTGTCTCCTCTGTTTGGAAAATGATGCAACAGCAGGGCACATACTTTGTGCCTGCCCCGCTGGGGACCGAATCAGGTTTTTAGAGTTCGACAGAGTTGTCCTCTTAGCATCTGACCTCAAAAACCACTCACATTTAAACAACGTAAGCCTACTAAACAATATCACTTTTTTAATATAAATAAAATACTTTCGTGATTTTCAGAACAAAAGAGCTGTGGGTACACTGTATATAGACGATTTTTCAAGTTTCAATTACAGTATGAATAATCATTACAACTATATTCGTTTCACCTATGACCACAGCAACGGAGAAGTACATACAGAGTGAGTAAATATTAATTTAGTAAATCTTATAAAATCTGAGAAAGCAAGAAATTGTATGTTTCACAGTTCAAGTGGATTGTCATCCATATATCTTATTAGTTAACTCCTGTCACTGCTCAATAGTAATAATTGTTAACCTGAAAGAACTGTCAAAGAAGAAACTCCAGAAAACCCTATGACAAAACGTCAAAGGTAAACGAAAGTACAGCCCATTCAGCTCAGAACAGAATCAAATGTCTAAAAAAGTAACGACAGAGTTGAAGTTTTTCGAACGAGCAGAAGATTTAACATTTTTCGACTTAAATATTTTGTGAAGCAAATTTTGTTTCGAATGTTTCTACAGTATTCTACAAGTATTCAATTGAGATTTCGCAGAGAAGTCGGACTGGTTTATTGAGATTTTCGACTATTTCTCATAATTTATCAGGAATATTATGAATATTCAAATAATTCAACTATGATTAAAAACATTTCAAGAAAATAATCCCTGGCCTTCAACTGTAGATCAGTTTCAGAACTTTCCTGACCTCTAAATAATTATTTTTTAATTGAAGTAAAAAGTCACTTCGTGTTGTGTTTGTGATTCTTTTTGGTATATTCATCAAAACGAGAAAAAAAAAACATAAATCAATATCATATATTTGCTCTCTCGATATAAATTTTATTACAGAACCATCGGTGGTGACCCTAAAGGTTTCGATGTCCATGTTGACAAGATAATCCTCAGTGAACCAGCGGTTTCAGGTAATCAGGAATTTAATAATCAAGTTTGCTTCTGATTGATTTATCATTGCAGGTAGTCAAATCTACAGGAAAGAAATTTTCGTCAAGGAGACTGAACATCGCGGAGAAGTCAAGATTTTCAAACTGAAATAATTATTTCGAAGTATAATATCTTCTGGAATCTGATGTCAATCAATAAAGCTATCAACTAATTTCGTGGAAGAATTTTGGATTTTTTTTTCGTTTCCTTCTTCACTTTTGATTTATCATTCTTATTCCATCTAGTTATTTATTGAGTTCAATTCTTTATATTCGTATTCTGTATTATTGTCCTAATGTTCTCTGATAAAAACTTTGAGGTTTAATATACCTATATAGACCTGTGTTGAAAAATCTATATGGATTTTTTCTTTAGCTGCAGAAAGCTGTCATTTTTGGCTCACTGATGATTCTTGGGCCCAATGATCACTCACCCCTCAGTGTGGGGAGTGGTCGTCGGTTGATAATGCTGGCGCGCCCCTTCCCTAGGGCCTGATCAGCGCATACTACGGTAAAAAAAAGGATTTTATTAGAGATATAAAACTAAAATAATAATATTGCCAGAGACCTACCAGAATTAGCACCAGTTTGCAACCGAAGAGGGGTGAAACAAGTGCTCTCTTTCACACAACCAACTGAACAAAATTATTACAGGGTGTGACAACTCATCCTATTGCAAGCAAACGAACAGATTTACGTGTTATAGAAGACTATCGATTATCGCTAAGGTTTTGACATAGCATAACTTCCAATTTCTGGTTACAACTAAGTAAAATTCATAGTGATAACTCATCTGATATGTTTTCAGTTGGAATTTGAAAGAAAAAATCAACATATTTTAAAAAATCAGTGTGTAAAAAAGAAATTTTTAGAGTCTCAGAAAATATTTATAGGAGTTGATTTATCGAATAGATAGAAAAAGTCACGAGGAAAGTTATTCACATCATGCACAATCCTCATCGCAAAATTCAAAAAACCTGTTAACATCTCTACATTCTTCCTTCAAGCTCCTCATCCTTGTTTTGTGTAATGAATGTACATATTCAATTCTTGGTATGTCATTTTTCACGAGCTGAGTTGGAAAAAATCGACTTTACAAACATTCTCACATGTCAGTGATTTTCAGAAATGAAAATCTGAATTCCGCAATTTCTATTGAGAAAACCTGTAAGGCCTAAGGGAGTCTCTCTACTTACGTATTCCGTTTCGGTTATTTTCTTGAAGTATTCAAAATACTACAAAGTTAAGAAGACAAAAAGGTTTCCCAAATATCTTCTTTAGTTTTTAAAAAATCATAGGGTAGAATCTGGCTTTGATGAATTTCTTTAAGCTTTCACAAATTATAATCTTGTGCAAAAATCACTATCAGAGAATTATTGACAATATATAGATGATTTTCTTGGTACCGACTGTTTTGATATCCTGGAACAATACTACTAGTTCATATAACAGAAACAGTGTCACTCATTCAAGGTTGATTTTGAATAAATTTAAAGAGTGAATGTACGTGAAACTTGAATAAATGTTGATGTTTATTTCAATTCATTGGCACAAATGAATTGTTGATGTGTTAATAAAACTGTTTTTATATCTGCAATCTGCTTCCTTGTGAATAATTTCAGAAAATAAATCGTGCAACCTCAACGACATGAATACAATGAAAAATATTGTGAACTCCGTACTGTCAAAAAATATTTCGCGACATATTTTTTTTTTGGGTTTGAATGAATATTATGCCATTTATCGTAAACGATCCCACTCGGGGTTAAGTAGAGAGTGGTGGGTGAAACAGTTTTTTCAAAGGCCAAAACACAAGCACTATAGGTATATTGTTAAGGCGAACTAAGATCGGTGCCTGTGCGAAAGTAGCGATTCACGATGGATTTAAATTTCAGGAGATTGAATTCATTGGTGGATTCAAATGTGCCAAGTCACTTTAAATGAGAGACAAATCTCTAACCCTTCTTCGATGTTCCAAACTGTGATGTGATGTTCGTGTCTCTAGTTAGGCAGATGTCTTTTTTCTGGATGGAATCCAGCAGCTTCAGGGTATGCTTAGAAGGAAGCTCCATAGATGAGAACAATACTCCAAAAAAGGTCTGATCTGAGCCTTATGAAGCATCAAAAATTGCTGAGGTGTGTACAATTTTCTGGTTCGGAACAATGTTCCAAGCTTTCGAGAATCAGCCTTTGCAATTCCTACTTGGGTTGAAAAGTGTTACATCTTTTGCAGAATATTATTATGTGTTTCAAGAGACAGGTGTCCCAAATAAACTACTCAGATCAGATTTGGGTGTCTTTAATATTGGGAAACCATTATTGAAATGTCAAGTTTTCGAAATACAGGAAAATATGACGATTCATGAATTTCATTTGTTTGGACCATTGTCTGATATTATATGGAATGATTTGAAATCCGTGAAATAACTAGATTTTTACTCCTCATAATACAACCATTACAAGGAAAAACATCGTCTTTTGTGAAGAATTTGAGGCCCTTTGTCGAACTACTAGGGTAATTGAAGTTACACAGGAAGATCAACTAATCAGTTTCGACGTGGAAAGCCTTTATACCAACGCTCCGGTCGAAGAAATACTCCAAATCATACAGAGGAAGCTGTCCGAAGACAAGGACCTGAAAGATAAAACGAATTTACCTATAGAAGTAATTATGAAATTACTAGGATGCTGTGTACGAAACTGTTATTTCTAACTGAAGGAGGAATTATTTACACAAGATGAGGGACTGCCAATGGGATCGTCATTTTCACCAGTCATAGCCAACATATTATATGGAGTGGTTTGGAACTTTGGCCATTGAAGAAGGCCACAAGAAACCTCGTGTTGACACCTTCATAATATGGAACCATGGGAATACTGAACTAGACACCTTCCTGAAACTCATCAACAGCGTGAGACCTTCCATCACTTTCACAATGTAGAAGGAAGCCCACAACGAATTGCCTTTATTAAACGTATTGGTGAAAAGGACCGACACTAACTGGGAAACATCTGTATACTGAAAACCCACTCACACGGGACATTATCTGAACCACGAATCCAACCATCATCAATCGACTAAAAGAGAAATCATCAAAACTCTATTAGACCGTGACCTCGGACTTTGTAATACGAAGGAAGGTCTAGAGATGGAACTAGACATCATCAGAAATGATCTTCAACGAAATGGCTACTCCAAAGTGATGATGAAAAAGACTTTGGCTAAAAGACAGCAGGAGCCTCGAAAGGAAGAGAAGCCGTCACAATCAGTGTTCGCACTTCCCTACATCAGAGGATTATCGGAAAATATACGAAGAATTGGATCCAAGTACAACATCAGAACCTGCTTCAGATCCGGAAACACTATTCGTAGCAGCCTCACGAAAACCAGGCCACCAAACGAGAACTGCGATTCCAAGAATTACATTTACCGGATACCCTGTGAGTGCGGAAAATCCTATATCGGTGAAACTAAAAGGCCATTGAATGTTCGCATTGCCGAGCATAAATAACACACACAGCGAGGGGAAACCATCAAATCAGGAATAGCAGAGCATATTTGGATTCATCAACATAACATCGAATGGTCCCAAGCTGAGATCATACACAAAGAGGAACATTGGTTTAGAAGGAAATTCAAAGTTATTTCAAGGATTTCAAATCATTTTATATAATATCAGACAATGGAAGTCCGAAGTAATAAAATTCATCATGAAACATTGTCAATCACCTTCAAACAAATGACAATTCATCCTGAACTGGGATTTTGTGATCAATGCAATTTCTACTTCTATTGAAAACGAATATACACATATATGCAAATCCAATTCATTAGCAATGCATAACTGTTGATGGTGCTGTGTATTTTCAATGACAGTATTTTATTATGCTATAAATCAAATGCGCGAAAACAAACACTAACATTCTTGAGAATGAAAAGATTATATCCTCAATTCATCTACCACTCATGGGGTGGAAATTATAATTATTGTATTGAACACATGAAATTAAAATCTTAGGACTTCAGCTTCAGCTTCAGCTAGCTTTTTGATGTTTATTCTGATCGTCTGTTATAATTTTGGATTTCGAATCTTCAAATTGTATTTTATTATAATAATTATTATTGTCGTTCAGATGAAAGACGATATTGTAATATTGAATATAAAAAAAGTTATGTTTTACGCCTAAGCATTGGAAAAAATAATTTTCAATGCCTTGTCATAGAAAATATCATTACTACGATCGATAAATTTCACTAAAATTGAGGTTCAATGCCAATCCAAGAACAAAACAATCAGATCACTAATATTTTTTATTCATAGTCAGTAAGTTTTTTCATTTACATTTAGTCTCCACCAATTAAATGATTTTCACCTGGTTATTTTTCTAGAATGAATGACGAATTATCGCAAAGAAAATGACCTATCTGAAATTAATGTATCATTCTGGTGTCATTGGCTTAGACGTAGACATTTTTTAGAGTTGAAAGACACTTTTGAAGAAATGTTTTGTTTTTAGAACGGATTTATTTTGAAACTAACATCCTGAGGCGGTTTTTCTAGATGTATATACTCTACAGCGATTTGAACTCAACATATAATCAGTGGGCATACTTGAAGCCAGTCTTCAAGTATGCCCATATGTGAAGTTTTTTCCTTACATGAGGAATTGGGCAAATTTCGGATATGCGGTTGGTTACCTCGTTCACGGGCAGATGGGGCGATGACAAATCTGTTGTTTGTTGTCCACTTCAGCTTAGTTCGAGGAATGATACTCTATAGGAATTTGATTTTCAATTATCAGAAATCATCGACTTCATGTTGATGATAGACACTACCTTGCACTGACGAGTGACCAAACAGCCCGAAACCGGTCTGCAAGTGTGTTCCAATAATTGAAAATCTATTGCGGCAGTTGAATCGCCAACATCATATGCAGGATTAACTTCAGTGAAGAATCTTGCACTGACACCTGTCGGATATAATCCATCGCCCTTCGTGGTATTAGGCAGGGAAGTAGTTGTTTTCTGATAGGTGTCAGTCAATTAACCTGTAATGTAGGGAGTTGAGACTGGCCTGAACAAATTGTTTCTTGAGATGATTTGATATTAGGATCTCCTTGCAGTGCCCGTGCATCTCCATGGAGAAAAAGAGGAGTTTCTAGAAAAGGTATCTGCTTGAAAGATA